TATTTAAATTTATTTATTGCACAATATCTATTGCTGCACTCCAGTGCAGCTGTAATTCAAGTACTAAACAGAATATTCTGTGCATGAGAACTTTAATTATAGTTAAAATATCCAATTAATTAATATTTGCAACACAAACGTGGTGATAGAGAAGAATTTCAAGCCAAGTATTTCAGAAAACTATTCTCTTCAAATTCCCTATTGCCTGCATATTAGAGGAGGTACAACTGAAAACCTAGGACAAAGATTATTGATTTGTCACTTCCACCACCCCCTTTAACTTTACCTTGTTTATCTTTAGGAACTGTTGCCCCTGGCCTCTGTGTAGATCCTATATGAAAGAGGAAGCTTTATAAAACACCGCTTCAGCATGTTTGAAAAGCGGTATAAAGTTTTAAAAAAATAAACTGCAAGATTTGCCTTAACAAAGAGAAACCTCCATGCACAAAAGCAGATTCCAAAGTCATGCAAATCCAGAGGCAGATGGAACTAGACAACTTTCTATAGTGGCCAAGAGAGAATGAGAAAGAGAGGGAGAAAGAAAAGAACTAAAACAGAAGGACCAGAACAAGAAATAGTCAGCATTAAAAACGCATCTTAGCCATAAACAGATAGTAGCAAATTTGGTTATATCTGACAAAATAGCAAACACATATCTTGAACACCAAACATACACTACAGTAGATGTTTCTGACCTTTTGAGGTCCACGTACATACTGAGATTTGAGGAAACCATCATGGGCAGCACCTCAGGGATGTTTGCCATACATAATTGCTATTTGGCTCCTAACACTCAGCTACCTGCGACGCCTCTCCCTTCATGGACTTTAACAACTATACACTCCTCTCATTCTCATTTCCCCTCTCCACCTCTCACTGCTTCTTAGTACCTTTCCTCCAGAGTTAGCAAATAGGAATGACTGAATGCCAGCCAGACTGTAGCCAGGAAGGCACCAGTTAAGAAAGAAGGGGAATTTATAAAGAAGTTCATAAGAGAAAAGTTTACAGAAGTACAACAAATTTGGGAGGGGGCAGAATAACTCAGGACCACCCACAGATCACATGAAATGGGGAAATATCCTGCTTGAAGAGAAAGGCCAGCTCAAATTCAGAACAGGAACATACATTTTAAGATGGCCAAAGTACACATCTCTCAAACATCCACTGCAGTGCTTACAATCCCCCAACAAAGATAACCTTCTCTGCTAAGTCATCTACGTAAATTTTGACACAATCAATTTCACCACATCTGCTTTATTTGGAACTTCCACATGCATAACCTTGCAGCCCGTTTCTTACAATGTATCCTCTCTCTGGTGACTCATAGTCCCTGCAATTGTCAGTCTCTCAATTCTTTTCAAATAATACTGAATTTGAGTCTCAAACATTTCAGCAGTAACATCTGGTAAGCAACTTATGTATCTGTGAAAGATTCCACAGTGCAGCCCATTTTGCATGACCATCATAATGTTCCCCCAACCAAAAGATCTTTGGTATCAAAGCCAAGAAAGCTTTTTATCAAGATCTAGAAAGCTGCTGGAGGTCAGAATAAAACATGCCGTAATAGATGGTCTAACGGTCTAGATATATATGCAAAAATTTAAATTGCTCATATGGTGCTCTCCTATGCAGTTTGGACTGTAGAACATTATGGCTTAATACGTAAGGGTTAGCTGAGAGGTTAGGTTGACCCTTTCCCTTTTATCCTTTCAGGGACAGTTAGACCTGTTTCTTTAGAATGGTTTTAATAACTAAAATAACTATAACTTTTAATAACTGCCTCTTGGATGCTAGGCATATGCTCTTTTAAAGTGTTTTTTAATCTGTGGTTTTAATATTTTAAAGTCTTTAGAAACCCTTTTTAATTATTATTATATGTTTAATTGCTTTTTAACATTTTAAAGTCTTTAGAAACCCTTTTATAATTATTATGTGTTTAATTGCTTTTTAACTTTCTAGTTTACTGTGCCTTCAGTTCTAACTTGTTTTAATCACAGTGAGTGTCCTGGGGTCCCCTCAACAAGAGAAAAGAGGCTTAGAAATGAAACAAACACAGAAGAAAGAGACATACTCCTCTCCCCTGGAAATATCTGTTGAACAGTAGTATAGGATTTCAGTTAATAAACACATGCAACAATGCAAATATTAAAAGCAATTGTTTACCAGTGCCAGTGGTAATGGTTTCTTCTGTTGTCTCAGTGGTTGGCCTTATGGCTGGCCCTACTGGTGTCCCTGTGTAACAAGACAGGTACTGACTTTAAAAGGCTGGCTGTTAATGTAGGAATGGCACATCTCAACATTCAAGAGAGAGAAACCTATAAGGGTTTGTAAATGGGTTTAACTTTTCGGGGGTGGGGGTTCCTCATCCAGGTCGGGAAGAAGGAGAGGAGTCTTCTTCTTCACTTTCAGGTTTATTAACAATTAACGGTTCAACATTATTAGAAAAAGGGTCCAAGAAACTCAATTCAGGCAACAAGCCAAAACTGTCCATCTCTGAATGAGTCCTCTCTCCGGCAGAGCTCATAGGGGTGCAGGACCAAACCTGTGTCGGTCGGACTCTGTAGAGGGGCACTCCACACCGCGCAAATGGTCCCGCAGCATGGGTGCCTTACCCAGTCTCCTTCCATAGGAGGAGAGTTATGCCACCCGTCCGGTTGGATCACTTGCCGTCCCCTACTTTGGTTCGTGGGAAACACTACTACCAACCACTCTAGAGGTTCTATGTGTAGTTCTTCCTTCCCCTTAGGAATGGGATCAGGAAGCAGACCTCCCACTCGCAGGTGGGGAAAATCTCTTAACAATTCTTGCGTTTTAACCCTCTCATACTCACGTAACTTCTCTAGCTCCCTCTTTCTCTTCCACAACTCTATTTCTACCTCCTTTCCCTCCTCTACCAAGCTTACTTCGAACTTCCCGTCTTCCCTGCGCTCTCACACTTGTCCTTGTTTTCCCTCTTGCCCTTCTCTGCTTCGTACTCCGCTCTCCTCCACAGTAACACTGCCTTTGCCAGGGGACAGCACACTCTCTGCCAGCACTCCTTCACAGGGTTCCTATTTTTGAAGAACTAACACAGACTAGTTTCTTTAAGAATGCTGTCTTTGGGAAGTTAAACTGCTTCTAAATAACTTGACTACTTGACCTGCTGGTGGGAATTGGCTCATTTCAAATTACAGCTGATGCACTTGGTTCAGATTAAAAATACACAGTGGCAAATTTATAAGGCCGTCTGGACTCACAATGGAACAGTGATTCAATTCAAGTGTGTAACGTGGAACTGGGATGAACTGGGATGTGGAACTTTAGTGCTATCATCATCTTTCTAATACTTGCCTTTACACATCTTTCTACCTACTAAAACTCTGCCAAAATAATATACAGCACATGCAGAATTTGAAAGTAATGCATTGCAAATGTCTATGATAGTGTGGAGTAACACGGGGCCAATAACAATCTTATTTTCTGCATCTTGTAACAATTCATGTTATAAAAATTTAGCACTTTTTTTGTTCATTTACTCGTTACTTTCAAATTGCTGTGGGGATATTCAATTTTGGACATACAGTGATGCCTCGCAAGACGATGTTAATCCGTTCAGCGGAAATCGCTGTCTTGCGAAAACATTGTCTTGCGAAACCAAATTTCCCATAAGAATGCACTGAAAATTAATTAATGCGTTCCTAGGGGAAATTTTTTTTAAAGGAACTTAAGGGGTAGGGAGCTGGGGAAGAACCATGGGAGGACTGGCGGGGGGTCCCCTCACCGCGAGCTTTGGAGGTCCCCCACCAGTCCTCTGATGGTGCAGGAAAAGCCTCCAAAGTGCTCTAAAGCAGGCGTTGGTGGTTACAGGGCACCCCCGCCAGGGCTCTGATGGTGCAGGGGAAGCCATCAGAACCCTGGCAGGGGTGCCGCAAAACCACCCATGCCAAGGCTCTGATGGTGCAGGAGAAGCCATCAGAACCCTGGCGGGGGTGCCCCAAAACCACCCGCACCCGCTTTAGAGCACTTTGGAGGCTTTTCCTGCACCATCACCGATAACATCCAGCTTGTGGTCCTCCTTGTTATTCGACGTTGACTGGTTTCTTGCTCTGTTCTGAGTGGCATCGACCACAAAGCAATTCAGTAGTCCATGTTCTCTCCGTAAGTTTTGTAAAGATTTCCCACCCTTCTGGGGATTTGGTAGGAAGAAGAGGCTTAGCCTAAGACTCTCTCATAAGATCTGCCAAGGATGGTATAAACCTAAGCCAGAAAGGCAGGATCTGATCATGTGTTATATCCTCATACACTTTGTCTAACTTCCGTGCTGCCGGCTGCTCCACGGCCAAATCCAGCACCTTCGCAATGCGAAGAATGAGTTGGGAGCATGAGGTATAGTCCTCAGACAGTGAGGAGTGGTGGTTTTCCACTACATCAGACCCTGGTGTGGGGATATTTGGAAGAGAGTTGTCCTCCACCTGCGATATCTGCAAATCCAAGTGCAAAGAAGCACGCTGAAGAGAAGAATAGCCTTCCCAGCCAGGAGGCAAATGATAGACTTCAATATCGACGTGGGCCACTGGTCTACAGACATCCCCCCTAGAAAAAGGCTGTACTGGGGATCAAAGGCGCTCTGGGGCTGCCTGCGTGCTCTCTGGGCCCGACGCTGATCGGTAAACCCATTTCGCCTCAACAACGGGGACGTAATCTGGAGGCAAAGGCCTCTTACGGGGTTGTAGAGGCGGAGGGAGATAGAAGCCGCCCTCAGGTTCTATCAGGCGATCCTCACCACGCCAGTACTGAGGTGGAGAAGGGGACAGTGATGGTGAGTAGCAAAAGTAATAGCAATGTCAATAGTAGGGGTCAAACCTGTAGACTCTACGGTAAGAACCCAGGTTGGGCTCAAAGTCGTTGGTGTCGAAGTACAATAGGTAATCATAATGAAATAGACTCCTATAATCCAAAAAGTTGCACCCAGTCATCAGTTGATGCTGAGCAGGCTCAGGCTTAACCGGAATCTCTGTGTGTCAGGACTTGTGAGTCCTCTTCCTAGGCACATCCTGAGGTACAGAATCGGGCAGTGAGATGGAAGCCCGGTCCACGACTGAGCCCAGGATTGAGCCTGGACTAGCCTGTGCCAACTGAACAACCTCAGCAGAGGTGTTCCCCAAGTAAGGTGAATAATTGACACATGGGGATGGCAAGGCCTCTGGCACCAGGGGTGGACCATCCTTGTCCCCCGATGGTATGCTGACACATACTGATTGTTGCTGGGAGGCGTCCGATACCGGAGCAGACTGCATGGTTTTCTCAAAAGAGCGATCAGGCTTCTGAGCCGTTTTCTTCTTCTTTGAGCCCGAGGAAGACGCTTGAGGTTTGGACTCCATTTTGTGAACTTTCAAAGTCTTTGAAGGCGATGGAGAGCCAGAGATTGGAGAATGCCACTCAGCCTGGGGTGATTCCGTGGCGGTCTTTTAGGTTGGAGATAGGGATTTTCCCCAGAAAAATGAATGAACGTGCTGGAGTCTTAACTTAAGCACCGGCTTAGTAAAGCCTTTACAGACCACACACAGGGACAGCTGGTGTTCTTCTCCAAGACAAAACAAACAGCGGGAATGTCTGTCGGAAAGTCCATCCTAACAAAATGTCAAATTTTGTTAGGACAGGACTCACACCTGTTAAAGAGGCCTGGGCAGCCATAAATAAAGTTATAGCTCTCCTAAAACAAGCTAACATTTCTATTCTTTATCCAGACTCATAAAGAAGAGATGTCAAGCGATCTGAAAACAAAGCCAGGGAGGTCCAAAAAGTAAGGAAAGGTAAGTATTTGAACAAAGTGCGGAAGTTCCTAACAAAGCTGCTGCAGTGACGGTGAGAAAAGAATTGAGGCACTTAGTGCTGGAGGCGGGGTTAAGAGTAGCATGTGGGAGGTCCCGGCACCATGTGCTCAAGCTCTAGAAAGTTCCAGGCTGCTCTGCATGCAGATTAACCCATTAGTGTAAATCCACAGATGACCACGAAGAAGAAACATTTGTAAATAATTGTAAATATGCACACTGAACAAAAATGCACACTTGTTAATTCTGTATAACTTATTTTGCTTCTTGACATTACACTGAGTTAAACTCAGTTATATATAGCACTGAAGGGCTTTCTCTCCATGAGAGACTTATTTTAGCCTTCCACTTGACACCGGAGACTTAAGCAGAACACAGATACACTTTGAACTGTTCAAAACATTTTTCTGGCTAAAAATCTGCTGGTGTTATGAAAGTATCTTCAGGAATAGTTGTTCGAGGATTTTTGGGCTGTTTGGCCGTGTTCTGGAACATGGCCAAATAGCCCCCCCAAAAAAAACCTACTACAACTATCAGATCCCGGCCGTGAAAGCCTTCGAGAATACATTATTTTCAGGAATGATTGGACAAACCTGTACTCCCTAGCATATCATGATTATCTGCTGGTCAAAGGGAAAAAAAGAGAGATTCCACAAGTACAACAAACCCTCCACGCGTTTAAACAAAAGAAAAGGTAGTGTACAAGTTACAGGTTGTATGTGTGGCTATGTAACCCCACTGGGTTTATTCCACAGCAAACTATTCTGCAACATAAAAAGCAACCCTTACTAGCCATCTGGAATAGTTGAAACTTACCTGGAACCTCACCTGGAACCTCACCTCCTCCTGGAGGAACAGGGGCAGCGCCAGTAGTGGTGGTGGTAGCAGTGGTAAAAATACCTGGTTAAAAAGAGAGAGAAACAGAGTACAGTGGTGTAATCATTGAGCTCTGCAGAGACAGGGTGCTCAGCATCAAAATACATTATAAGTGTTCTGCAATTCATACTACTACACTTTTCCCTCCAACAACAGTGGGGGATTAGGACCCCTGGACTCCCACACATGGGCAGCTAAAGGACAGAAAAAGCCTCTATCAGAGGGGGAAAACAGAGACACAATCTCTCTTCCCCGCCCATGCAGCAGTATGCCAATATGACTCCCCTAACACGCATCAGCTTCCTGGCATGCCCCAGGACTCTCCCCAGCCACCACATGAAGCCACCATGCCAGGAGAGGGTGCCATCCAGCCCATTGCCATCAGAGCAGGGGTTGCAGAAGCTTCAGTAAGCCTAAGACCTCCCTTTCTCAGACTACCTCCTGGCAACAAATATCTGCATAGTATTTACTGAATTCTTTCTTTAGTAAAATATTTACTTATTTATTTATAGAAAAAAATCCATGTATAACCAAACCATGCTGCTCAAGCGCATGCAATTCCAGGGAAAAGTGTTTCATAAAAACTTTACCTTTGACACATGTAGGAAGATCAGGATGCCAGGAATTGTCAGCTCCGCATTTCACAAACTCACTCCCCACCAGGGTATGGCCACGATCACATACAAACCGCAGGACAGTGTCGTATTTATATGTAGACTGAAATGGAGTTGTCAGTCTTCCACTGGCGATTTCTGGTCTTTGACACTCGACCACTGGAAAAAGAACAACATCTCTGAATATGGTAGCCTTTCGACCAAGGTAGCATCTGGGACCTTAAATATTAACAAGAGCTAGAACAATTCCCCTTGTGGCCAAAACTGAAAGAATTAAACACGCTGCCTTTTGATGTATTCACAAAGGCTTTCATGGCCGGGATCTAATGGTTGTTGTGGGTTTTTTGGCCGTGTTCTGAAGTTTGTTCTTCCTAACGTTTCACCAGTCTCTGTAGCCGGCATCTTCAGAGGACAGGAGCAGCACGTGAAATGTTGAGAGACTGGTGAAATGTTAGGAAGAACAACCTTCAGAACACGGCCAAAGAACCCGAAAAACCCACAACAACGCTGCCTTTTGTTTGCAGAAGCAGCATAAAGATTAAACTCAAGAACCAGTTGCATTTCTTGTGGCTTCAAATGTGATAAATGCCTTTGAGATCACTGCATTGCTGCCTTCAAATACTTTTGCAGTCTAAGAAAGAATTAGATTTGATCACAAAGAATCTGGTATCTTGCATGGTCTCTCCACTTAAAATAAATTTGTTAAATTCCCCTAGTAGTATCCTTAGCTCTCTCCTAAGCATGTCATTATTTCACTAATATTCTTAGTTATTTCACCAAAGTATTCTTGATACTTCTAATCTAGTGAGCACTGCTATTACAAGATGATTTTGCAATGTACGTGTGGGAGTTATTACCATTGTGATTGCTTTTCCACATGTGATGTCACTCCAAGCTTTTTTTTTTTTTGGAATTGTTATAATTTTAACCTCATGTAAGATTTGTTTTGGTTCTGTCTGGAAAGAGTTAAGTAAAAAATATATGGAAAAAATAACAGTCCAGTGGACACAGGATGGCAATTAGCACCTAAAATTTCCATCTGCTATTTGCTGCAAGGAAAAGAAAACATTGTATTTTAAGTGTAGTTTTCAAAGTAGCAGCCATGTTAATCTGTGTTAGCATATCAGACAAAAACAAAACAAAACAAAAACCACCCAGACAAAAATATTGTGGAACCTTAAAGACTAGCTGTTATATAGTAATGTGAGCTTTTATGGTCTACCTTCTTGGACATCAGAGTGATATTATTTGTCATTTATTTTCACATTAATTGACAATCATAATTATTCACAGTTCAATAGTCCTATTCTTTAATTAATGAACCATCGTCACTTTGTACATTACTTTGCATCCTCACCTGATCATGGAGCCATGTATAAATATGTCTCACTCTAATGTTTGAGGAAGTGGATTTGTTCCACAAAAGCTCATATTAAAATGTATCAATTAGTCTTTGAAGCCCCACAACGTTTCTGGGTTTTTTGGGAGGAGGGAGTGTGTGACATCTTTAATTATATTTTTATCCTGATGTTCCACTAAAACACTGCATTCAATTGGCTACCAAATAAAGGGCAGAATCCTGTTGCAAAAAGTTAGATGGAATCTGATGGTAATCTTTGACTTTCAAATGCTCCCTGCTCACCTCATCTCAAGTCACCCAAAGGCTTTCCCAAGCCAAAAGGGAGCCCTCTGAAGCTTGGAACCCAAAAAGGAGGGACAGAAATTTTTTAATTAATGTATTCTCAAAGGCTTTCACGGCCGGGATCCGATGGTTGTTCAACTATCCCACAAACTGCACCAGAGCACAGAGTTCTGACTCCTGTCCTCTGAAGATGCCGGCCACAGACTGGCAAAATATTAGGAAGAAAAAAATCTCAAGAACATGGCCAGACAGCCCGAAAAACCTACAATAATCAGTTTTTAATTAGTTGAAATAATTTATTTTCTGCAGCAGTTAATGCCAGTTTAACTCTATACCAACAGGATTTTGCCCATTAAAATGGAAAGTTAATAAATAAATGCATTAGAGGATGTTGATTGTAAAAACCATTAAAATAATCGCAAGCTTCAATAAAAAGATGTGTCTTCATATCATTTTGTAAAGGCAGCAAAAGTGATTGCAATTATGCCTACCATACTGAGCGCAATACCTAAAAGACTGATTTTAAAGAAGAATCTTTCTTCAAGTGCATTTTCCCTGTTAGTCCTGCAACTCCACTGAATCACCTGTAGCCTCAACCAAATCCATGGAAGCCTTTGTGGTTTGCACAGGTACATGATTCTATAAAGCATTTTATTTTCTATCAATCATATGCAATGGAAGAAATTTCACAAGTAGCAGATAAACTTCCATTACTTTTACATTCAGGAGCAGGTCTATCCCAGTTTCCATTTTCACCATCATCCGAAGTACAGAAAATGCTCGGAGATCCAATAAGAGATAAGCCTTTATCACATGTATATGTTATCACTGTGCCATAATCATAGTGATCAAAACCTTCATCACCATCATGCCTTCCATTAGCAACTCTGGGAGGGCGCTCACAAGGGATTCCTGAAAAAGAGAATCAACATTAACCATTCTGGCACACTGAAAGTATAAAAACATTACTAATAAGGTTTTCTTTCGAATGAAATTATTTCTACTGCAAAGCTGTTGTGTTCTTTAAAGGAGACAACTGTAGTTTCTGTCAAGCAGATTCACAATCTGGGTACTTCTTACTGCCAAGCCAGAAGTAGCAAAACCACTTCCTTAATCTCAGCAAGATTAATCACAACATTATGATAGCAGTAGGTACAGAAGGAAGTTGCTAAAACAAACCAAGTTTCTATTGCTCAAATACTCCTTTACAATTTACAATCCTTCCCAAGCAGAAGCATAGAACAGCCATTCTTCCCTCTGAAGAATATTCAGCCCTGAAGATAATGCAAAGGGAGAGAAAGAGAGGGGGTATTCTATTGGCAAAATCTCTTGCATAAATTTCTGTCTTTTTGTGGAACTTGGACCAGGCACCAGATACGTTTAACTTGGGGCTCAGTTACATGTGGGGAAAAAATATTTTTGAATCTCTTTTTCCCCACATGTAACCAACCGATGGTTATATGTGTCTCATAATCTCATCCTATATCATGAGACAGCTGTGATGTTTTAAAAGCTTTTATATCCCAGAACATCTTTTTAAGTTTAATGTCATAATGTCACCCCACCGGTTACTGGATCCTGATGGATTCCAAGATACCATGTGGGGGATTCTGGCTGACTTGGTTGGCACTCCTGTCAATGCTCTGGTGGTTGGCTGGTATATCACCACCACCACGGCGGTCGACATGATCGCGCCTAAATGCCCTCTCTGCCACCAAGCCCAACCAGCCCCTTGGTTTAACCAGCAGCTAAGGGCCATGAAGCGTAATCGGAGAAGGTTAGAGAACATTTGAAGAAGGGTCCCGATGGAAATTAATCTAAAACCTGCCAGAATTGTGTCTAACCTTTGCCTAGCTAGGGTAAATGTTGCTAGAAGAGCATTCTTCGCTGACCGGATAAGCGAAGCTGACAACCAGCAGGCAGAACTTTTCTGTATAGTACAGATCTATCCGGAGTTGGCCACAGTGATAGGCCTCCCTTTAGAATTTCCTGTAACTAAATTGCGGCATTTTAAAAATCTAAAGAGGAGGCCATTCACCGGGACCTTGATCCTTTTTTACAGACAGTAGATCAAGCTGAGATGTCCAGTGTATCGTCTTGCCTGGCGAGGTTAACTTGCTTTCAACCTGTGATGTCCAATGAGGTGGAGAGGGTGCTTGCGTGCTGTCGTGCCACCACCTCCTCTTTAGACCCTTGTCCGGCCTGGCTCATCAAAGCAGTCAAGCCAGTAACAACAGAATGGGCCACCACAGTAATTAATGGGTCTCTCCAGGAAGGCATGGTTCCCCTTGCCCTCAAGGAGACACTCATTAGGCCTATCCGAAAGAAACCTAATTTGGCGGCGGACAAAACTGGGAATTATAGCCCCATTGCCAATGCTTCTTTCTTGAGCAAAGTGGTCAAGAGGGTGGTAGCCAATCAGCTCCAAGCCCTCCGGGAGAAAACTGACGCCCTTAATCCATTCCAGTTGGGCTTCAGGCTGTGCCATGGTACGGAAACAGCACTGGTTGCCCTGCAGGATGACCTCTTGAGGGAGGCCAACAGGAGCAATATGTCCTTGTTGGTCCTCTTCGGTATCTTAGCGGCCTTTGATATCATTGACCGCAGTATCCTCCTGGGGCAGCTCTCTGAGTTGGGAATCGTTGGCCTCGCTTTGACATGGCTCCGTTCCTTCTTGGAGGACCGTTACCAGAGAATGCAGCTTGGTGAGATGACTTCTACCCCGTGGATCCTCAATTGTGGGGTTCTGCAGGGGTCAATCATCTCGCCAGTGCTATTTAATATCTATATGAGGCCACTTGGTGAGATCATCCAGAGTTGTGGGGCCCAGTGTCATCAGTACGCTTATGACATCGAGCTCTACCTCTCATTTTTTCCAACTGCAGTGGATGCTGTTCCGACCCTTGAACGCTGCCTTGGGACCGTTCTGGAATGGATGAGGGCAGATGGACTGAGGATAAATCTGGACAAGATATAAATCTTGTGTCTGGGCTGTGAAACTCCCTCTCCTTTGGAGGAGTGACTCTTCTCACAAAGAATGAGGTTCGCAGGATTGTTTGTCTCCATCAGCTATTAAGTAAATTGGTTGGCCAAGTTGAACAACCGTGTTTCAAAACCAAAGCATATACTCCAAATGGCAGCAGTTAAGTTTATTTGGCCTTCTGGAGGCTTCCAGGGCAGCATCACGCCGATAGCTAAAAGGCTTTTCTTCTATCTAGTGGTTCTCAGTGTTATTTGACTCCTGCTAATATGTCTTAAAAAGTGGAAGAACGTACTTTAAGGATCAGATGTGAAATGTAAGCAAAGATGTGCAAATATGTGGCTTTGAACTATAACTCCTAGAATTCTGAGTCATATTCTAAAAACACCGATCTGTGCATCTCTAATTTTAAGCACATAGGTTTTTAAAAACTAAGCTACATAATGTGGAAAAACCTGAAGAACAATGTGGAAATAGCTGTGAATCTTCTGGACACAGTTCTACTGCTGATTTCAACTGGCCCGGTAGTTATTCAGTTTCTGTTGGAAGCTGCAGCAACTGTTGTTCTGGGATGAGTAATCAGAGAGATAGAACACAAATATTTGAATCTCCATCAAATTGCATTTTTTGGTCCTCTGGGGATGCCAAAATTTTGGACTAACAATCAGCCTGAAGAAAACGCAAATCATAGGCCAGGGCTTGGCCTCACCTCCCTCTATTACCATCTCCACACAAGAATTGGAGGTTGTTCCTGATTTTGTGTACCTCTGCTCAACGATCTCTGACACTCTCGCCCTAGATGTAAAGCTGGATAAGCACATTGGCAAAGCAGCTACCATGTTCTCTAGACTCACAGAGAGAGTATGGCTTAATAAGACGTTGAAGGCATATATCAAGATCCAGGTCTATAGAGCTTGTGTCCTGAATACACTCATGTACTAAAGTGAGTCCTGGACCCCTTGTGCACAATAGGAGAGGAAGCTGAACACGTTCCATATGCGTTGCCTCCAACACATTTTTGTATCACCTGGCAGGACAAAGTCCCAAACAGAGTAGTCCTAGAACGAGATAGAATTTTTAGAATGTATACATTACTGAAACAGCGACGTCTATGTTGGCTTGGGCATGTTGTGAGAACGGCTGACAGTCAGATTTCAAAAGATCTCCTGTATGGAGAATTAGTGCAGGGAAAGTGCATCAGAGGGAGACCACAGTTGCAATGCAAGGATATCTGCAAGCGGGATCTGAAGGCCTTAGGAATGGACCTCAACAGAATGAGAAACTTTGACATCTGAGCATTCAGCCTGGAGGCAGGTGGTACACCATGGTCTCTCCCTATTTGAAGAGACACTTGTTCAGCAGGCTGAGACAAAGAGGTTGTCCCGAAACCAGCAAAATCAGGGAGCTGACAGGGGACAGATTGTACAGTATTTGTCTTCAGTGTGGAAGGGATTGTCACTTTCATATTGGCCTTCTCAGCCACACTAGACTCTGTTCCAAGACCTCTATTCAGAGCATGTTATCGTAGTCTCTTGAAACTGAAGGATGCCTACAAGCAGTAAACTTTTTATATCCACTGTATATAGCAGACTCCTCTTGTTTGACCAATCAAGAACAGACTCTCCAAATAACTGCCACTTCACCAAACATTTCTTCAAATTCCAAACACACCAGCCAACCAGCCCAGCACTCAGACCTGTACCAAGATACCATCACCCATATGCCAATCATTCTAGCACCTGGCCTATTAATGCATACCAATCCTGCATTCACAGCTATACACTAAACAAACCTGCTATGATTGTTGATATATACACATTATTATGGAAAAATGGGCAGAATCACCAGAACTGGTAAAGTCACTCCTTATATCTTGGAAACCTTAGTAGTTTTGCCATATGTTGGTATCAATGGCATATAGCACACACAGAGAATGGGAAGTCCCTTACCACACCAGATATGGAATGCTGGGCAAAAGACCCTCACTGACCAGGTCATAAAACTAAAAAGCATAGAGCAGGAGGAAAGCAGGCAGAAAATATCAACATATATAGACTACCTTCTTAGGAGTTGTTCACTGAGTTAGACAGAGTCTATAGATATGAGACTGTCACGTTCTATCTTTCCCCTCTTTTAACGTCTCTGCCTTGTCCCTATCATTGTCTGTTAATGGCCAAAATCCTGTTGCTTAGTATAGTAAAGTGCACTCAAGTAGGCCCACTGACTCAATGGGGATTTGGTGAGTCAAATCTTCTACAAGTTCTATTCATTCAAGTAGGCCTACTCTAAGTGTAACTTACTTTAGCATACGAAGTCACAGTTAGAGTAGACCATTTAAATTAGTGGAACTCACAGAGTAGTTCCACTGATTTAAATTCATGATGATTCATTGAATGAATCATCATTCAATCAATGGGCCTAACTCCAGTGTGATTTGCTATGCTAAGTAATGGGATTTTGGTCACTGTATTTTCCCGTCTGTTCCTGTATGGTGGAAAGCATGGATGACCTGTATTGTGTAGAAAAAGCTATCGTTGTACGTATATGTACAAGATTATGAAGTAAGGGAGAAAAATGCTTGCGGAGAACATGTACTGTAGCTTAAGGTAAAAGATGAGATATGTTTGCTGTATCTTTAAAAAGAAAAACATGAAAAACTTAAAATAAAGTTCAACCACTGCATATTTCTTGAATTCCTGAGAATTTGAGGGTTAATAGCTGCATAATGTTTCATCTCCTATTCCACCTTAACTGCATTAAAATTATTTTGTTCAACATATATACAGTGGACCCTTGACTTACAGATGGCTTGACTTACAGACTTTTTGAGTTACAGACTTCTCTGGCCGCAAAATTTAGGTTTGACTTGCAGACTGAGATTTGACTTACAGACCAGAAAAAAACCAAAATGGAACAAAAACAGCCTGTTACGGGATTAATCGGTTTTCAATGCACTGTAGGTCAATGGAGACTTGACTTACAGACTTTTTGACTTGAGAACCGCCTTCCAATACGGATTAAGTTCTCAAGTCAAGACCCCACTGTAGTAACTGCAGTCAGGGATCCAATGTAGCTATAATAAATGGAAACCTGAAATAATCAAACACAGACTAATTAAAGTCCATTCTAGTCCCAGAAACTTTTTAAAATGGGGTAGGCAAAATCATATTTATTTGTCTCACATTCTACTGGGGGAGGTATATACCATTTGAAGCACAATGGAACGTATTTTTCAGCTTTTCCACTTTTCCCAGTCCATTCTCATGAGTATAAAATCCATTACAGAAACATGCTGGACCCAGGGAATCAATTTTACCACATGTAGTTAGTTCTGCTCCAAGCTGGCATGGCAAGCTTATAAAACTGATTACTCATCTGAAATGCTCTTTTCAGGGGGAAGGAAAACCATAATTGGATTCTTAGCTACAGCAGACCCAACCATTCTTATTTACCTCAGATCTAGTATTACATGTAGTTTCTAGCATCTATTGAGCACTGCAAATTACTTTATGTGCTAATAACTGGAAAATGGTAGAGACCCTATATGCAGTTCAGTTTAGTGGTCAGAATGTTACACAAAAACTCAAGGTTTAAATCCTTATTCTACATTTATAGGGTGGCCACAGGTGAGTCACAGTCTCCCATTCAAGCTACCTTACAATGTTGATGTGGATATGAAGTTTGTGGGGGAGGAAGAAAGCTGCATTTGTCACTCACTAAATGGAAAGTGAGACAGAGAGGTAACAAATACAACCAATAATTATTGTTGTCAAAAAGCAGGCACACTGCAGAAAATCAGAAAGCACATTGACTTTGATATATTCGTTTGGAATGGCAGAAGATATATACAACAAAGGAAGATTAATTTGGTGGGAAATGGGGATAAATGGGAATGTTGAAAAATATTTGTTTAATGTAGTAAAAAGAAATACAATAAATCAGGTGAACAACCTGTGACCAGAGCACAGAGTGCTGTCCTCTGAAGATGCCGGCCACAGAGACTGGTGAAACGTTAGGAAGAACAAACTTCAGAACACGGCCAAAGAGCCCGAAAAACCCACAACAACCAGGTGAACAACCCCTTTTTTAAGAAACACGTTAAATGTCTGGAACAGATATAAAAATAAGTTATGTCCCTTTACTTCACCATTAAAATTAGTGACCGAAATAGAAAATTTCCCAGCAAACTTGAAAGATTTAGCTGATTTGTTTAAGGATAAAAAAGATGACAGATTGAAGGATTGGATGATTAAAATGAGATTGAAGGATTAGATTATAGTTAAATTTCAAACTAATAAATTATCATGGTGCAATTATATCCAATTAGATAGTTGGACAAATGAATGGTTGGAAACTAATGGAAAATGTAGAGAATGTACTAAGTACGAACAATTTCTATCATCACATGAAGACAATGCAGAAAGATGCTTTGATGAAGAGAGTAGTAAGTAGAATTTATAACCTAATTTTGGAACAAGAGGAAAAAGAGACAGAAACAGAAGGTTTGAAATCAATTTGGGAAAATGATTTAAAGACAGAAATTAAACCAGAAGTTTGGATAAAAATTTGGAGGATGAGAGTTTTAAGATTAATGTGGGTAAGAATAAAGGAATTTAAAAAATAGTTTAAGGTGTTATGTGACTCTGGTGAAATTGATTATAAGAAATTCAGACCATTCTAAGGCTTGTTGGAAATGTGATGAAGTAATTGGCACGTATTATCATATGTGGTGGGAGTGTAAATGAATTCAGAAATTTTGGAAACTGATTTTTAAGGAGATATGTGATATATTTGGAAAAGATATTGAATTCAATTCTAAAACTGTTTTGTTGTCAATTTTTGATAAGATAGAACTTGATTATTGTTCAAAGGAATTAATTTCCAATATTATGACAAGTGCTAGAGTATTAATAGCTAGATTCTGGAAAAATAAAAATGATATTAAATTAGAAGATTGGTATAATGAAATAATGGACATTGCATTAAATGATAAATTGACTACTGAACGTAAGATGAAAAGAGGGGAAATAAGTTCAAATATTTTTTATGCTATTTGGGGTAGGTTTGTTGAATTTGTATTAGTGAAAGGAAAGGGGAAAGCCTCTAAATAACGATCAATACAATTTTGGAAAGGAAGTTCATATTAAAAGTATTGTTTCAAGGGGTCCCATGGGTATGGGGTGCACGGTGGTTTAGATTGTATAGTAAGTATTTAATAAAATTAATAAAATTTATAGTAAGTTTTTAATAAAATTAAAAACAATTTTGAAACAAATTTTAAAAAAAGGAATGGCAGAAGAAGAGAAGAAAGGATATGAAAGAATGTATGTTACTTCTCACTTTTCAGGATTTTCCCAACTAAAGTCCATACAGACTAATATATTGGCAATACTGAAATGTGAACCCTAGCAAGTTCAAAGGAATCAGTCATCTTACTTTGGCAATATGGAGGTTCTCTATTCCAGGCAACCCTGTTGCCATCAGACACAATGCAGCGAGCAGTACTTGGACCTAGCATTCTGTGCCTACAGAAACAGAAGGAAAGATAAGACTCACATTATAGAATAGGATACAGATCTTCAGTCTCAGGGGCTTAATCCATCCTCCTGGTCCCCAAAAAGGCTGCTTTTAGCCCAGGACATGATTCCCAGATGGAAGACTCCCCTCAATAGCTCCCATTTTTCCCCTACAGGTTCCCAACCACCCTTCAGAAGGTCTGCAAAGGAATGGGCAAACACACTTGGTAGTACTGTAAGTAGGATCAATATACTGAGATTTGTTTACAACCTACCCAAAAGTGTTACCATATTCAGGGCCACTTACAGAAAAATGAGAGAATAACACAAACAGGTGAAAAAACAGATAGGAACAATAGAGCATGTAGCAGCTGGATTTAAACCACTTAAGGTAATAGTAAAGGAAGTCTGGATTTTAAGTAGTGGGTTTACACTGTTTCTGAAAGATATAGCAGTTCTTGAGGCACTGTGTGGAAAGTTATCCAATTGGCACCAAAACTGAGTAAACTCTCTGGTTTCCATCAACCTTAAGACAAGCTACCAATTGCCTTTATTCCACATACAAACTCAGTATAAACAAAACCTTTCATTCAAAAAGTTACAGCTCAGATTATGGAGTACAAAGAAAATTTGAGTTTTCAAAGTTTATTACAATGCTCCTCTTCCAGTTCAACATGTTCCTTCCTCAATTTAGGAAAAGAGAGGGCAAGTTCCAAAGTTATAGGAGCCATTCTTATCTTCTCTCAGACCCTGAAGGCTGCATACCCCTCCCAAACTCCCACCACAAGAGAAAAATGCCCCCTAGAATGCAACACGCATCCCAGATGCTTCTGGAGGACACTGCTTGTACTGTACCTCTAACTTCATCCTCATTAAGGCCCTGCTTTAGACCTTAAAAGGCCTATTCTTAGAAAATGGAGGTGACTGGCTCGTCATATTTGGTTTTTATTTAAAAAGGACTTTTATGATCAGACAAGCAAATAGGAGGTTGGTTTTCTGAGCAAATCACTCTTCCCAGAGCCCAGAGTTTCCATTTTGAGGTCAAAGTTTTCCAGAGGTGCTTAGCCATTCAGGGATTCTGTGGAGGCTTGGGAAGGGGAGACACACTGGGTCCCTGGAGGACTGAACTTTGCTCAATCCTGGTTTAGTTTAGGAAAAGCAAAACAGAAGGAATGTGAAAGGGTCTGATCATACTGGCTCACCAGATGCTTGAAAGGAGTGACAGAAAACCTTCATCCCTTGAAGGTGACATTCCTCTTGCAAAATCTGGCAGGGCTTTCCTCTCACAATCAGAGTGGGTGGAACAGATGAGTCAGAGCCATCACATAGATTGTTCATCACCCCTTATGCAACCCTCCACACCCCGTCTCATTATCTTTCTCTTTGGGCCCTTTCCTTCCTTTCTATTTTCAAACCACCCAGTGACGTGCAAAGCATGAGGTAGGGCCAAGGAAGTGCACATCTGCCTAGTTATTACCTTTCCCTTGTTTAGAGAATTCAAGAATGGGATACTCATACAAAAATAAATAAATAAAAATAACACAGCAAGTGTGCAATCACACTTCCAGAACGCCCAATCAAAGAGGGAAGCTGATAAATGTACAGTGAACTTTTCCATTATAAACAGGAAACTTATAATTCAAAAATCTGCCATGGCTGATATCATTGTCCTTCCAAAGTTTTTACCAAAGCTAAGTTGTTTGGGCATGGAAGTTACAACTCACCCTTTGTGACAGACAAAAGTTACTGTCTCGCCAAGCCGAAGGTCACCTGTGGTCTCTATATTGCCATTCTCAATAACTGGAACTGTGCATCGTTTTCCTAAAAGAAAAATTCCCAAAGGTATCAGAAATCAGTATCATGCAGACATAATTCTTAAAAATGAGTTTACAGACATTTAGAGCAATATATTCCAGGTCAGATTAATAATTTGAGAAGTCAAACGCAATTGGCCTGTGAGTGATTTACCGTATTTTTCTGTGTATAAGACAAAATTCTAAAATAGTTACTGCAAAGATTGAGTTTTGTCTTATACATGGAAGTACAGTGGTGCCTCGCTTAACGAGCGCACCGTAGAATGACGAATCCGCATAGCGAGGTTTTAGCGAACGCAAATGCGATCGCATAACGATGGCCCCTAAGGGCAAAAATCGCTTTGCGAAGATTGGTAAGCATTTCTCTGGAAGCCCCAAAATGGCGGCGCGCAGCGTTTTCGTGCCCTGCCCTCGCTTACCGAAGGCACGAAAATGGCTGCCAGACCCGGGAAGCATCGCTGAACGGGGAGTTTTCGGCCCATTGTTTAATGCGTTCCTATGGGCTTTTCTGTCCCGTTCAGCGATGTTTTGCCATAGCGAAGGTTAATCCGGAACCGAAACAGCAGCCAGAGATGGGGGAAGAGGCAAAGGAACATCCATGCTTGGCTGCCCCTCATGGCTGCCCACTTACTGCAGCTGCAGCCACCTGATCGCCTCCTCTAGCGCCACTCCCGAGGCTCACCTCAAGCTCACGCTGCCTCCTTGTCCCCTGCCCGAAGGGAGCCTTTCTATGCACCACTGTACACTGAAACAGCAGCCGGAGGTGGGGGAAGAGGCAAAGGAACATCCATGCTTGGCCGCCCCTCATGGCTGCCCACTGACTGCGGCTGCAGCCACCTGATCGCCTCATCTAGCGTCACTCCCGAGGCTCACCTCAAGCTCATGCTGCCTCCTTGTCCCCTGCCCGAAGGGAGTCTATCTCTCTCTCTCTCTCTCTCTCACACACACACACACACCACATCTCTATTTGTCCTCTTTCAAATTACAGACATCATTCTATAAGTATTCAGTGTTCCAAGATGTTTGCTGAGTTGTTTTCTTTTTCCCCTTTTCTCTCTTATTCTGTCTCTCCAGCATTCCTCCTGCCCAAAACACATTACGGGAACTATACAAATCTCAGGATTCCCTTAGGCATTTTAAAAAGAGACACAGCCATATGGTCTGTGTTCAAAAAAATAAAAAAATCAAAGTCAGGATGAAAAGTACTTTACACACATCATGCTGAGGAAGATGCACATTAGCCACATATCTGCCTCATGTGCCACTTAAATTTCATCTTCCCTTTAAAAAGATTGCCATGTTTATGGGCATTGCTGTATTTCATGCTGTTTCTGCCCCCAACCAAAGTAGGAGCCAAGTGCTTTGATAAAAGACCATTGGAGAACTCATGGAGTGGCAGGTATCACGTAGTCTAACTAGGAGGAAAATGACAATTGATTCCACATCCCCTCATGTGAAAGCTGGCAGCATCGCACGTCAAGCTGATTCTTTAAATCTGTTACCTCCCTCTTGGGATTTCAATTTAATTGTACATCCTCTTCACTTCAACATCAAACCAAGTTAATTCTCTTACTTTTCTATTTCTCCCCTTGGAACAGCCAACCTCAAAATTATACTGTAGGACAGGAAAGTTCACCTTTTTATATCTTAATGGTCCCTTACAGGTATCATCCAATTCTGATTGTAGTCAAAGCATTCTGTACTTCTGTCGTCATCCCTCAGCTCTTATTCCATAAGCCTAGTGGCCTAAATTTGCATAAGATACTGGCTCATTTTGAGTCTACACAAGACATTAACTGGAACAAAAACTACTTAAAGTTTCTGGAAGCTCTGGATCTCTGCACATTTTAATAAACATTTTATGAAAGCTACTGCTGTTGACAGAAAGAGAACTGGGAGAAAGATACTCACTTTCACAAAATGTAGGCGTTTCCGTCCATTTTGAATTTTCAAGACATTCAAGAGCAGGCCTCGAGCCAGATATAAATTGATAACCAGGGATGCAAGTGTATCGCAAAACCGTCCCAGTAGGATAGCTTTCTTGCCGTTCTCCACCCCTCAGTGTAGAATGGGGTGGGTTTGGCGGAGCGGGGCAATCACCTGAAGAGAAAAATAGAAAAGGACTCTAGCCTCATTCCTTCTCCTCTCTTCAAAAATAGAAAAGGACAATTCTGAAATGGAGGAGCATGCAAAATAATAATAATTTTAAAAATCACCGTACCATTAAACTCTGGATAAGTCTTAAATCTTGATGCCATTTTTCCTTAATAGGATACACAGGAACACTTTCCTCAGTGCTTACAGGTGCTTAGCCAAGAAGAACTGAAACAAGACTAAAATAAGATTTCTATTTTCCATATAAATTGCACCAGGCCCACATCCCAAACATTTGCATTTCTCTCACACCGTGAAAGGTGTACACTGTTTTTTCACCAGCTCAGATTATTTATTATTACATTTTAAAAAATATTTTTACATATTTTAACATCATTACCAAACAGTGCATGAAATCATGGGAGCTTTCTGGAGATCCAGAATGTCCATAGCAGTTTATGAGTACTGCACATTCAGACTGCACATGGATATCTCCTTTTGATGTGAGTACTTAACCTTGGAGGTCCACTGTGATTTGTTCTGGAACTTCTTTCAACAGAATTGGAAGAAAAGAATTGGAAGCATACATGGTAATTCTGGCCCACATTTTTCATGGTTTGATAAATCCTCATTTTTGGATTTCTATTTTACTTTTACTAATTTTACATTTTGATATAATATTAGTTTTTAGGTTTATTCCATTTATCTCTGTACAAATTTGTTGCAATTCCACTTTACAATCTCCTTTTACATGCATTCCCACAACACATTACTCCCAGACTGTGGGGTAGTGTTATATTTCAAAATAGAGCCTCACCACGATAGCTCCCCCAGTCAGGAGAAAAGTGCAGACAGCTAGATTTGTCCATAACAAATGAGATGCATGTCTTTTGTAAATTGAGTTATCCACCTATTCAAAACATAATCACTAGAAATGGGAGCTTCATATTCATATATAAAGCCTGCTGGCACAGGTAGCTGCCTTGAAGAACATTTACGTACCTCCAGACCCTGCTGGACCACTTACTGCATGGCACAGTGGCAGTGTCATCTTCTGTGTCCCTACTGCAGCAGTAGCTTGGCTGTACAGCTCTACCTCCCTGCTCACCCAGCCACTCCACTACTGAGCGGGGAGACTCGTCCTCCTGTTCCCTGCCTGAGTGGCTGGGCAAGCAGGAATGCAAGGTTGTGGCAGCCAAGCTACTGCCATGATTGGGGCACAGAATATGATGCCCAGCCACACGCGCCACATGGTAAGTGGTCTGGTGGAGTCTGGGAGTGGGTGTTCATTATGCCAGCGGGCTTCATATCTGTACACGAATACAAAGGCCCTATCTCTAATAGCCACCCTCAAATGCCATAGACCCTGCCACTCAGGAAGTTTAAGATATTCAAGTTTGCAAGTACCGTCTTTACTACATTGTGCAACTTATTATTTGATTTAGAGCCTTGTGGCATAGCAATTAACCTGCAGTACTACAGTCAAGACTTTGCTCACATCCTGAGTTCAATCCCAACAGGCTCTAGTAGCGAGCCCGAGGTTCACTCAGCCTCCCATCCTTTTGAGGTCAGTAAACCAAGTACCCAGCTTGCCGAGGGGGGCATTGTGTAGCCTTGCATAATTACATTGTAAACCACCCAGAGAGTGCTATAAGTGCTGCGGGACAATATATAACTATATTAATCATAAGGATCCTGACTTTTCAGCCAAGATTGCCTGCCAATACATCTTAGAATTAAACAGAAAGCAGCAATACACTAGAAATATGTACAGACTCACTCATGGTGACATGAAGTGTTTATAAGCTGCATTCTCTGAGGACGGACCTCTAGGAAAGACCAGAGTCAGGCTAAAGCCAGGCTACCGATCCTCAACCCAGAAAGCATCCCCGGGAGGATATCGTGGTTGACGGTATCAAAGGCCACAGAGAGATCAAGGAGCACCAGCAAGGACTTTTAGCTTCTGTCTATCTGTCTCAAAATGTCATCTTGCAGGGCAACCAATGCCATCTCCACACTATCATGTGGCCGGAACCCGGACTGGAACAGATTGAGGTCATCGGTCTCCTGTAGCTGGTCGGCCACCACCCTCTCCACTAGCTTGCCCAGAAAAGGCACATTGGCAATAGGTCTGTAGTTGTTAATATCATCCGCTGCCAAGTTAGGTTTTTTTACAAATAGGCCTAATGAGTGTCTCCTTGAGGGCTTCAGGAGGGACCCTGCCCTCAAAGAGAGGCCCACTAATAACAGCAGTGGCCTATTCTATTGTCACTGGTTTGGAAGCTTTTATAAGCCAAGCTGACAAGGATCTAGGGAGGCTGTGATGGCCTTGCAGCAATCAAGTACCCTGTTAACCTCTACTTACGTGACAGGTTGAAATTGTGTTAAACTCACCAGACAAGGCAGTGCAGTGGATGTCTTGGCTCGATCCACTCAAGAAAAATGGTGGTCAAGGTCCCAGTGGATAGCTTCCACTGTTTTAAAAATGCCACAGATTGGTCACAGGAAGTGCTACTGGGAGGCCTATTACTGTGACTGATCCCAGACAAATTGCATACTATACAAAATAGTTCAACCTGATGGTCTTGCACTTCACGTATCTGGGTAGCAAAGTATGTTCTCCTTGTGGCCTTCACCTTAGCTAAATAGATACTCAGCACGATTTTTGCAGCTTTTCAGTTTGATTCTGTCAGGACCCATCACCAGATGCTCTCCAGCCTCCTCCTCCTCTGCTTCATCGCCCATAGCTGCTGGTTATACCAAGAGGCTGGGCAGGCTCGGGAATGGGGGTGGGCATTTGGGTGCGATCGTGTCAGCAGCTCTGGTAGCAGCAGCATACCGTCCTTCCACCAGAACTTCAACAGGAGCACCAACCAGATCAGCCAGTATTCTCCACATATCATCTTGGCAAGCAATTGGATTCAATAGCCTGCAAGGGTGGACCATCTTAAGGGGCCCTGGCTCCCCATGGAGACAGGGAGTGCAAGTAAAAGGCTGCATTTTATTAGGTTGTGATCAGACCATGACAGGGCAAATGATGGCAACTCCCATCCCTCCAGTCTGCCTTGATATTGGATGGAATACTCAGGATATTAGATGGAATACCTGGCCAGATCTGTACCCTAATCCAATATTAAATCCTGAATGGCTTAGGCTTTATTTAAAGCAGATCTGGCATTTAACAACATCAGGGATAGAGCAGAAGGTTGACTGAGCAGGTGACTGCGAGCTGACAACAAAACTGGAACAGGCAACAGCCTTCAAGTATCTGTTCCGTTCTTCGGGATTTAAAAGCTACAGCGCCAACACCATAATCTTCCTCTGCTCACAATCACTTGAATAGTATTTATGTTCCCTTCACTGGGTGAGAGGCTTTCAAGTCTCCTTAAGTGTAAAGTGTAATTAAATAGAAAGCACAATGTTGTTGTTTAGTCATGTCCGACTCTTCGTGACCCCATGGACCAGAGCACACCAGGCCCTCCTGTCTTCCATTGCCTCCCAGAGTTTAGTTATATTCATGTTGGTAGCTTCGATGACATTGTCCATCCATCTCGTCCCGTGTCATTCCCTTCTCTTCTTGCCTTCACACTTTCCCAACATCAGGGTCTTTTCCAGGGACTCTTCTCATGAGTTGGGCAAAGTATTGGAGCCTCAGCTTCAAAATCTGTCCTTCCAGTGAGCACTCCAGGTTGATTTCCTTTGTTGGCAAGGTGATGTCTCTGCTTTTTAAGATGCTGTTTAGGTTTGTAATCGCTTTCCTCCCAAGAAGTAGGCGTCTTAATTTCATGGCTGCTGTCACCATCATGGAGCCCAAGAAGGAAAAATCTGACACTGCCTCCATATGTTCCCCTTCTATTTTCCAGGAGGTGATGGGACCAGTGGCCATGATCTTGGTTTTTTTGATGTTGAGCTTCAGACCATTTTTTGCACTCTCCTCTTTCACCCTCTCATTAAGAGGTTCCTTAATTCCTCCTCACTTTCTGCCATCAGAGTGGTATCATCTGCATATCTGAGATTGTTGATATTTCTTCTGGAAATCTTAATTCTGGTTTGGGATTCATACAATCCAGCTTTTCGCATGATGTATTCTGCATATACGTTCAGTAAGCAGGGAGACAATATACAGCCTTCCACAATTTTGAACCAATCAGTTGTTCCATATCCAGTTCTAACTGTTGCTTCCTGCCCCACATATAGATTTCTCAGGAGATAGATAAGGTGATCAGACACTCCCATTTCTTTAAGAACTTGCCATAGTTTGCTGTGGTCCACACAGTCAAAGGCTTTTGCGTAGTCAATGCAGCAGAAGTAGATGTTTGAAGATTAAACAATAATAATTAAGAAATAATAATTAATTAAGCAAATCAGCCTCTTAATGAGGGCGAAAGAGGAGAGTGCAAAAATGGTCTGAAGCTCAACATAAAAAAAAATGTCATGGCCACTGGCCCCGTCACCTCCTGGCAAATAGAAGGGGAAGATATGGAGGCAGTGTCAGATTTTACTTTCTTGGGCTTCATGATTACTGCAGATGGTGACAACAGCCATAAAATTAAAAGAGCCTGCTTCTTGGGAGGAAAGCGATGACAAACCTAGACAGCATCTTAAAAACCAGAGACTCACCTTGCCAACAAAGGTCTGCATAGTCAACCCTATGGTTTTTCCAGTAGTGATGTATGGAAGTGAGAGCTGGACTATAAAGAAGTCTAACCACTGAAGAATTGATGCTTTTGAATTGTGGTGCTGGAGGAGACTCTTGTGAGTCCCCTGGACTGCAAGGAGAACAAACCTATCCATTCTGAAGGAAATCAACCTGGAGTGCTCACTGGAAGGACAGATTCTGAAGCTAAGGCTCCAATACTTTGGCCATCTCATGAGAAAAGAAGACTCCCTGGAAAAGACCCTGATGTTGGGAAAGAGTGAAGGCAAGAGGAGAAGGGGACGACAGAGGATGAGATGGTTGGACAGTGTCATCGAAGCTACCAACATGAATTTGACCCAACTCCGGGAGACAGTGGAAGACAGAAGGGCCTGGCGTGCTCTGGTCCATGGGGTCACGAAGAGTCAGACACGACCTAACCACTAAACAACAACAACTGCAAATCAGAGACACCAAGTACAGAAAAAATAAATAGAACCAAAGAAATTCCAAATGTCAACTGACTTAAGTGCAAATGTAAATAAAATAGATAAAATTCAGTAAATTTAATATTTGAGGTTGAATGAAATGGTTATGTATAGCTGAATTAAATAGCTACACTAAACAACAACAACTGCAAATCAGAGACACCAAGTACAGAAAAAATAAATAGAACCAAAGAAATTCCCAATGTCAACTGACTTAAGTGCAAATGTAAATAAGATAAAATTCAGTAGATTTAATATTTGAGGTTGAATGAAATGGTTATGTATAGCTGAATTAAATAGGTAACAGGGGGCATTAATTTATATAAAAATAAGGTAAATCAAAAGGATTAAAATAAAGAAGTTATTGTGCAAATGAAACTGACTAGATACTACAATGAGTTCCTATAGTGCTCCTTTGAAAGACAATCTAAAGACCACAGGTGGTACAGAATGCAGTTGCTCTTATGCTTGTAGGGATCAATATACCTGAACTGTGTGAGTCAGGTGCTGTTAAACTTCCATCCCTAATTCAAAGTGATGACTTTAAACTTTAAAGCCCTGAATAATTTTGGGAAGGCAGGGTTTAGAAAAGTTAATGTTTCAGATAACAGCTCCCCAAAACTCCAAAATGAACTGAAAACTTAACCAAAAGGAAACCATACCAAAGACAGACAAAGACTTAGCTATATGGCTACAGTTTGAAAACAAAAAGAAATGAGGGAATAAAGTGTTATGGGTATTACATCCCTACCTTTTAATTCCTTGGCACCATAAGAACTGCTTTATGATAATGTAGAGTTTCATGGGCCTATAGCCCATTTGATCATAGTGGAAGTTTATTTCACAAACGTGTTAAGAGACAAAATTCTTGTAGTAGAGTAGGTTAGTCTACAACATCTCTCAGTGTATAATAGATTTGTTAGTCCTTAAACTGTCATAGGATACTTTAACGGGAGGTTATTTTTGCTCTGTGCAAACTGACCTCTGGAAACAAAGACTAAAAAAGAGGAAGTTATTTTTGGCAAAATATCTGGAGGAGGCTATATTCTGAGTAAGGTTCTTGTGGCACCAATATATATATACAGTATATATATTAAACAGTTTATCTGAGCACAGACAGGAGCATCGCCATGCCTCTCAAGTCTTCAGACGAAGAGAAAACCGCAGCCTCTCTCATTTATAATAATAATAATAATAATAATAATAAATAGGATTGGCCAACAAGCCCCTCCATTATAGACCTTGAACTTCAAGCGACAGCAGCCAAAGCAGCAGCAGCAACGTCCGTGTCAGGCACCCCTTCCAGCAGCAAAGAAGCAACGCCATCGCAGCAACCAAGACAAGAGGCAAAGAAAACCGCTTCTCGCGTCCAAACCAAAATTGAACCAGAGGGGCCGGGCGAGATCCCGTAATCTATACACTGGAAGGAAATACGCCTTTTCCGGTTCCTATTTTGAATCGCGGTGCTATTTCGGGGGCTACACTTCAGCGGCTAAGCCCGCACCGACATCGCCTCCTCATGGGGCGGGGAGGGAGAGAAAGCGAATAGACACACACCCCTCTCGCGCGCCCCCCCGGCCCGTTGTCAAGCCTTCACGTAACAACGCCTCCCCCCCACCGGAAACACGCGCGTTGCCCTTCGCAAGAAGAGCGCATGCTCGCCACGCCTTGGAACGAGGGCGAGTTCATCGGAGGGCTGCGGGGGAAATGCGGTTTCTCGGGACGGTTACGCGCAGGGCGGAGTGGCGCTTCGGAGTTAAAGGGGTCTCACGGAGGTCACCAGCGATCGGACCTGAACACGTGTTTGGAAGCAAGCGCCACTGAGGATTTTCAATTTTTGGGGGTGGCAAGCAAACGTGCCTCGGAGTTGTAGCTGTTGTGACGATCGGAAATAAAGGGGGCTCAGTAATAAACCTGGAGGTGGTTTCGTCCGCTCAAAGTGAAGGTTTACGAGGGCCAGAAAATGGGCTCCTAACGGGCCTGCAGGAGTATTTTATATATTTGCTTCTTACTCATTTCCCGCTTTCGGAAGACTTCAGTAACAAGCAGCGATGAGAATACAGGCAGGACGCGTCACTTCCCAGCACTGGTTTTCTGCGTCACATTAAAATTCAGTTTTTTACTGCTCACAACCAAGAATTAGGCGTAATGTAGCAGCCCCTATTTCCTAACACAGGTCTGAACGTTATACAGTACTGTAGTACTTTCAGGCAGAAGTACCGAGGTATACTGTATATTTCATAATTTTTCATTTACTCTGCTGACTTTCTCAGTAAAGCCTCAATATATAAGCAGATGCTTGAATATCCCTGTTAGAGTTTTGGAGACCTACGAGGTTTATTACAGCTTTTCCTTTCTAATATGAGCAGATATACTATAAATGTAAGAATTACATTGAACCAACATAGGAGAGGAAATTGACTTTATTATCAACATTTACACCCTGTGTGAATTTAGAACTGCCTAAACAACTAGTCAAAGGAGACAGTTTGAAAGCCTGTGCACAAGCATTGGAATAGCTTTATGGCTAAGTAATGTAGTTTTACATTCTGGATTGATCTGTATGTAGAAGTCAAAAAGTAATCCTTTGATGGAGGTGTGGTCCTTGTTGCCACATTTTTTGTAACCATATTAGAGAAAGCTATTTCCACCCTAAGGAAATGTGTCATTCAAAACAAGGCAAAATATGAAAATAATTTTTTAAAAAACATATCTAGCAGCCTCACCCATTTTGTCCCATTACACCCATTCTTATTTTTCACAAGAATGAGGAAATACGGGGTGGGGGGGGTGGATAGATTTGTTTAAATGAATATTTTGTAGAACAATTAAAGAGCTCACTATCAGTAGGGGGAAAATACTACATCACCATTATAACGTCATGGAATAAATTTCAACAATCCTGCCCATTCCTCTAGGGAAGATACATAGACAGGCTAGAGAGCATTAGTGTGTTTTTAAAAGGTTACAGAGCATAGTCTGTGAGCATTAGATGTAGCAACTACTGTATACTGAAATAAGACACTAAGGAGATAGGAGACTCCCTGGAAGCAGTAGGTGTAGCATGTGTTGAGTTTTCTGCATAATTGTAAACTGCCCAGAGAGTGTTTTAAGTGTTACACTTTACTTTTTTATTTTTATTATTTTAATATTTTTTTTTTGCTTTTTTCCCTTTTGCTTTTTTCTCTGCTTTTTTTCTTGGATGGAAGAAAGATGGAATGCAAATGTTGTAAATGAAGAAAATTAAAAAATAGACACTATGGTCTCAGCTTTTAAAAACATGAAGTATGAGCATTTTAAAAATTAAAAGTACTGTACTTGTCTAAGTATGATAGAAGTGTGCATATTTTGCTATGTTCAGAACGGCTTGACTAAATTTAACTATGGGAAATATGAACCTTCTTGCAAAACCTTTTTTTTCTTAAGTGATACTCTTACTGATATAAAACAGAGTTAATAATATTGCTTGAGAGTGGCCCTCTGCACTCTACATAGGACAATCTCCTCAAAAGAATTAATGGACATAAATCAGACATCAGAAATACAATACACAGAAACCTGTCTTAAACTACTTCAGTCTACCAGGACACTCTTCTCAAAATATGAAAGTTGCTATTTTGGAAAAATACTACAAAACAGAAATGCAGAGAGAAACCACTGAGATAAAAATTTATTCACATGATGGACATACATATAAATAGATTGACTATCCGTCAAGGTTTCTTTAGTCATTACCAAATATAATTATGATATCTACTGTTACTTTCCTTCACAACCACCACACCCATATTTCAGAACAAGACTCAAAAGTACAGTCTGTTGTATCAATACACATTGTTCCCATTGTTTCCTTTAATGATGTCAATGCCTATAGTTGGTCTTTAAAATTCTTGTCTCTGTCTGCTTTTGCCTGATTTTGTGTCTCTTGCTGAATAAAAATGCAGGAGTAGATGATACAGTACCTTTAATTAACCATTAAAAATAGTAAAAAACCGAATTTGTTATTTTAGTTTTATATTCTTAATGGTTGATTAAAGGTATCACCTACACCTGCATTTTTATTGTTTCCACGACCATGTGGCTTTACCCTGATTTTTTTCCTTGCTGGGATGTTTACAGAACTGAAAATCAAACAAAGATCATAAATTATGGCACATGTGAAATGCAGCAAGACACCACTGATTATTAGGAGTCCCGCCTGAATATTTTAAAGTGTTAATCCGTGTTTTCCACCTCATGTCAGGCAAGGTAGGCTAAAAAGCTCCATGAAATCTTAATTAAAATATAAGTCTAAACTGCAGCAATGCTTTTGTCTTTTTTAAAGTTTTTGTTTTGTTTTTGCCTGATATGCTTGCACAGACTAACACAGCAGCAAGCTCTTCTATACCTGCAAAGAATTACTATGAGTAGAAGAAAGCATTTTGTGCTCAATTCCCTCAATTTCTACCACCCTCTTCCGTGTGGAAGAATAATGAATATGAAGACAGAACTTCCCTATTTGTGGTGGCTCGCAATTTTTCCAGAGTTCTAACTCATGTGGAGAGCATCCCTAGACAGTGAAGCGATTAAACCGACCATTTCCTACTATTCATGGTGCTAATAGATGGATTTCTAACACTAGAATAGATTCCGTGTGCTGAAAGAGAAGAAATACTCCTATGCACTCTGAAGTTATTGCTGGATCTTACAGAACTTCTGAGCAGGAGGTTTCCTTTCACTAATGCAAACTCAAGGCTTCCTCCCTACTTCAAATCTGAACCTTTGTATACTTATGTTCGATAGAAGAATGGAAGAAAAAGGAACCTTTTATTGACCAACATTTGGGAATGGAATCATCTTGAGCAACACATGCATACATGGTTCAGTTACAACCTGGACAAATTTCAAATTACTCTGGATCACCTAACTTTTTAAAAAGTTCAAAAATATATACAAAGGTTGCTGGGGTGCGTGGGCCCCTATATACGTGTAACATGTACAGTGGTGCCTTAATTTATGAACTTAATCTATTCCAGAAGATGGTCCTAACTCAAAGCACCATTTCCCACTAGAATGCATTGAAATGCTATTAATCTGTTTCGGCCATTTTTTGGTTGTATCTCAACGCACACTCTTAACCGCTGGGGCGAAAGAGCTACCAAGAAGCAGCCTCTTTGTCGACAATGGTTAGCAGTTCAAATTTCCCCACCTTTCCCCCCGCCTTTTTTTCCTGTCGTAACTCAAAGCTCTGGTCACAAGTCAAAGCAAAATTTTGCAACCGGAGCTGGTCGTAACTCAAATTGTTCGCAAGTCAAGACGTTCATAAGTTGAGGCATCACTGTACAAGCAGATAAGAGTTCCATGTGCTAAAGTATGAAATAAATTGTGGTATCTTCAGTAAATAGGGTATTTTGAACCCTAGGGATGGGCACAGGACTGATGTAATTAAAAATACTCAGTTCATGTTGATCATTCCAGGTTGGTTTGCAACTGCTGCTGAAATGAGGTGGACACCGTGACAAATCAAAAGATAAGCAAAATTAGCACTGGAAATTCCAAAAGCGTTGGGGTAGCATCAACACAGGAAATTTTGTGCTTATAAGATCTTTAAAATGATTAAAGGGGATAAAGAAAAGGTTGCAATGAGAATGAAAGTATGTTTAAAAGTACAGCATGGCACAATAGTTTACAATGGTTTATATTAGTTATAGTTGGTTCAAAACAACATGACACGTTCCAGCTAATCCTAAGAACAAGGTCAATAATATAACACTACTTTGAATAATTTTGTTAATGTCTGCCAGTTTAGCATAGAAGGAAACTAAACGAACAAATGATGTGTGTGATATTTTTGACTATGTGGTATATTTGTTTAAGGAGCGGTACTCCTGTTTTGGAAACAAAACTAAATCTTTCACATATGCACTCCTCTTGTCTTACTCTTCTCTAGGTTAAGGCCAGTATTATCTTTATACTCTTACTATCCATTTCCATCAACAAAGGACTATAATAGAAATGCATTAATTTTTTTAAAAGTGTATTCCAGAAATCCAAAAGCAAGCTTTAATTGCAACTTACCTGTAGTCATGTTTTTAATAAAGGTCATGGGAGTACTAAGTTCAGTAATACCTGCAGTACAAGAAAAATAATTCTGTATGTATTGCATTTTTAGAATATATATTTTAATTGCATTTTAATTATTTTGCCCTTTTATTTTGCCTTTTTATTGTATTTTAAATGCTGTAAGCCGCCCAGAGACCTTCGGGTAGTGTGGGCGGCATATAAGCTAAATAAATAAATAAATAAA